AGGTCGAGTTCTACAACTTACTCCCCTAATAAGGGTCAAGTTCTATAACTTACTCCCCTCACCAGGGTCGATTTCTACGAACTTACTCCCCTCATCAGGGTCGAGTTCTACAAACTTACCCCCTCGTCAAGATCGAGTTCTACAACTCACTCCCCTCGTCTAGGTCGAGTCCATAAACACCAAAAAGTGTCATACCGGGTATGACAATGTTTTAAGTGGTACCCATAAAATGACATAGAAAGTGACTAAGGACACTTATAAGATAACGCCCGACACTACATGATCAGACACGTTTAGCCCGATGGACTTTGTATCTGAAGGGCTTATACATATACTGGATTATCTTCAAAACAACGCATAAAAGTTAAAATGCAGAGTAACGATTACATAAAAGCCACAAAAGGGAAATCAAAAGTACATAGCCTGGAAGAAATAAGCCTAGAGGTGATAATTCAAGAGTAACAAACATGATAACGAGACCACTCCTTACAAAAACAAAATTACATAAGCGCATCCTTATTGGATGACTAACAGGACCAACAAAACATCAAAACATAATGCATTAAGGGTTTTCCTTTCCAACATCATCATTGTTAACATTCTCCTCGATAGAAGGGTCTTCAAGATTCGGCTGAGGAGAAGGAGTCTTATCCACGTCTTTGAGATTAACTAGGTGGCCATTCTTCACCACCTTAAAAAATTCCATCTGCAAAATGGATAAGTCGGGATGAAGGCACAGTACCTGATCCTTATCCCGCTCAAAAGCTTCATCGCTAGCAGAAAGAATGTCCACCTGGGACTTCTTAAGAGCTTCCCTCAACTTAGGAGTGGTGGCCTTCAACTCGTCATTAGTAGCCTTATCTACCTTCAACCTCTCATTGAGTTGGGTAAGAGTGACCGTGTTTTCAGACTCCAGAGTCTCTCGAAGCTCTTTTTCCTTAACCAAGGACTTCTCCATGTCGGACAACTTCTCGGACTGAGCCTTTTGGACCTCCCTCAATCGAGTTATCTCTTCCTTCAGTTTCCACTTCGTCTCCTTATGATCACCAGCAGATTCAAAGAGACCTCAGGTCAGAACTGCACACTTCATAAGGTAGGAACTAAGATTCTGTGTTATTTTCTGACTGCCAACAGACTTAACCTTGTTGACATCCTCGGTGGCATTGAGATAATTGTACATAAACTAGAGTTCATCGAAGTTGTTGGGCCAAAACTTGAACTCCCCAGAAACACGACTATCCCCGGGATCTCCCATCAAAGAGGTAATTTGTAACACCCTAAATTCTAGATTAATCATATTTCATTAATTTAGAGTGAATATATGAGTCGTTGGGAAGTATTTGATATATGTGATGTTTTTGTGTTTTATATGAGTAATTGTTATGTTCTTGGATGTTTCGATAAATATGAGGTATACCGTGGTGATTGAGATGAATATGATGTTTAAGATGATGTTTAAAATGATGGTTATATGATGTTCATGCGTGTCATAGAAATTATTGGGAATTAAGAGGATTTTTGGATAATTTAGAATTATTATAATAATTAAGTGGAATTATTTTAATTAGTAAATAGAGTAATATTAGTATTGAGAGATAATGAGGGCAAAATAGTCATTTGGGAAGAATAAGTGAGGACAATAGTGGAAGTCCAATATTAAGAGTCCAAAGGTTAAGTTTGGTATAAGAAAGGTTTGGGATTTTAGAAGCGCTCATTTTGTACGATAGTTTTTGGGAGAAGAGGCAGAGCAAAAGCTAGGGCACATAGAGGCAAGGGATTTTTTGTGATAGAACACCAAGAGGAATTATATTTGTTGTTATAATATGAGGTAAGTGGTGTTTAACATTGTTGTTATAATTGATCTAAGGTCTAGATAACTATAGGTTATGTGGGTTTTGGTGATTTGATAAATATGTGTCATACCCCAAATTTTCCCTACTAATTCTAACTAAATTTTTCTTTATTATCATTTTTTCATAAGGTATAGATTACTATTGATAAATTCATTATGTGGTTTAAACCTTAAATAGGGGGTGTATTTAGTTTCTAAGCCCATAAAGGGGTAAGGCCCGTTCAAAATAACAGAGGGTGTACGTTTAAAAAGAATTGGTTGCTTCAGTTTTTGGACAGATCCATTGAACCAGATTCATTTAAAAACTGTTGTTTAGAAAAGGTGGGGGTATGGATGGCAATGAGTACCCATGGGCACGGGTACTAGTCTGCCGCTACCCGTCTCGTTTAGTAAATTTGATACCCGTACATGCCCCATACCCGTGCGGATATCCATTAGATGGGTATCCGTGGATTTTGAGATACCCACAGATATTTACGGGTATCCATGAATACTATTATTTAATTTTTTTTAAAATATATATTTAAATAACTATTTTTTTATTTCTTTTAAAGACAAAAAATTTATTTTCAAATTTAATACATACTAAATAATAAAAAAAATAAATCACATTTATTTTATTTCTTCTTTTATCAAAATAATAATAATAATAATAGTAATAATAATATCATATTTAACAAAATAATAATAATAATAATAACAATAATAATTTTTTATCAAACAAATTAATATTTAAGTATTTTTGCTAATTATTAACGGATACGGATACCCGCGGGTACAGGTACCATCAAATCCATATATGTATCCGTAAATAAACGGGTAACCAAATATCCATTGATTTTACCCGTGGATGCCCATTAAGCCATCATACCCGTGCCCGTTGAAACAACCGACTGAAAATCATCAAACAATGAAGTCGCCATCGAATGTCTTTTATCTCACATGAAGGGAAAGGTAAACATTGAGAAAATCTAAGAAGGGAGAAGTCACGGTCTTGCGACTGAGAGATCGGGTAAGGGAGTCTGTTACGCGAGGGGAAGGTATTAGCACCCCACACGCTTGTAGTACTCTATAATATCCGCTCTTGTTATCTATCTTATGGGTGTGTCTAAATCTATGCTTATTATTTATTATACTGCTGAGGAAGAATGCATGCAAAAGAAAGGAGAAAATAAAGTTGTGCTCGCTTGGGCCCTACCCCAATGCCTACGTATCCTTTTTGAGGAATCAGAGTTACAGTAGTTTAGCTCACGTGTTTTGTTTGTTTTGTGTTTTTATGAACAATGTTAATTCCGCCTTCTGCCGCAGATCGACCTTTGGAGACTCACGAGTTGGCACATAAGTAAATTAAGATGTCCATACCTGAAAATGGTCTTAAGTTACGCCCTAAAGGCAAGATGCCATATTTGATTGGTTTGTATTTGGTTACCTTGAAAAAGGGTTTAAGTGTGATTAGCATGTTTTATGATTTGCTAAGAAAAAGAAAGTTTTAGTTTTAATGCATATGCAAAAAGGGAGAAAAAAGTCTACGGGAGACTAGCCTATTCCTAATCATGATGTTATCATACAATGGTAGTCCTAAGGTTTGGTTTAACATAAGGGAAACGTCTACCTAATGTTAGCATGCATGGCTTGCAACCTAAAGTCTAACTTGCATCCGAAAGGAACAAGCACATCATAAGGGAACATAGTATGTACAAGGATAACAAGCAAGCTCGAAGGAGCACACACTTAAAATGGTAAGGAAAAGAAGCGAAATGCTTTAGCCGAGGGGAGTGTATCACCCGAGACAAACAAGCGAGAGTGAGATGAAAAACAAAAATATGATGTCCAAAGCGACTGAACACTTAACCAAGATATAAAAGATCAAGGTAAGAAATAGAAGGAAATATGAATAATCATGGAGTATCAGCATCAACCAATGCAAACTCCTGATAAGGTGTGGGGGTTCGATTGCATAACCCTTCCCCACTCGACGAATCGATAACAAGAGAAGGCACAACTCCAAAGCATCATGGTACGTCACGAGCTAAGGATGACACAAACGAAATTGTGGGGGTTGATTGTGAACCCTCCCTGCTCGCCTCTTTTTGAGGACTTCAATAAGGGATGGGGGAATTTATGCGAGCACAAATATAAACACACGTGTGAAATACCTACTTCAAATATAGGGTTTTAAACAAACACAAATAGCACACAGTGAGGAATTACCCTAAACGGGTCTTTAAATAAACTAGGGGGGTTCCGGACATGATCAACAACAGAGATCCCCTTCATACATCTCTACCCTACTTCTCATGGCAAGGAAAGCAGTAAAGCCCTACTTATCATGATCTCTATAAAGCGATAAAGAAATATGATAAAGTGCGGAAATAAGGAATAAAATGAAGTTGCGATGATACCTAATGGAGAAGGTCCGTTGTGTCTTCAAAACCATGCAAGCGATAAGAAAACTCTACCGAAAGCCTCTTTGAATTTCCTTTATTGAACATTATGCTCTTTATTTACTTTGAAACCTCTTGAACTTATTCAACCAAGATCATCCTCCAATCGTGCCAACACGTATCATAGATCGAGCACTACTATCATATACAAGTGGCATCAAGATACCTCAAATAAAGATCCAAAAATTAGCACAATAATTGATCCTAAGAGAAGTATAACTAATTTCTAAAATCCCAAAGCAGTTCATACTATTTTTGTTCATGCATCATTTTATCACCAAAATATTTATCAAAATTAATGGTAATAAAAAATTAATATGAAACAATTAAATTGGTACACAAAGGGGGCATTAATCTGAAACAAGGTGTTTGGTAGGTAACGGCGCTAGGCCCATCAAACTTAATCCAACCAGTTTTTGTTATAAGGCTTCAATTACTAAAAAGAGGTGCTAATGGGCCTAATGAAAGGCAATTCGGTCCAGCCATCCTTTTTGTGCAGTCAGTTTCAAAAACAAAAAGACTATGGGCCAGGAAAGGGTGTGTTGAATCTGATTCAACAATAGTTCTCAACATTTTCACAACTTTTACCTAATTTCTGAATTAAACATTAATATAAAAGATGAAAGTGAAATAAAATAGCCAAAATTCTGAAATGCAGCATTTTGATAATTGTATAGGGTTAAACGTGATGACCATTGGACTTCATGAATAGAGAATCCCTCTTCTCTCCCAAACACGGCAACCTCTCCATCCTCATACGCTTCTCCTCCGGTGATCTCCAGTCCCTATCGCTTCAAGTTTCTTCTTCAAACGCGTTCCCTCAAATATATAGTGGCGACTTCGTCTTCTCTTCCCCAATTTCGAATCAAATCCTCGACGTCGTCCATGGAGTCTCTCCTATAAAGGTAAGATTCTCTTCTCTTCTACTTCTTCTTGCGTTTCCGTCTTCTTCTTTGTTTTTCTTGCAGAATTCGAACGATGATGTTTATGTTGCAGTTGATGAAAACAATCGATGATGCCTGAAGGTTGAGGCTGCATATTGTTGTTCTTCATGGTGAAGTGTTGAAGAAGGTGCGTTGTCGATTCATTGAGTTGCAGAAAACTGTGATGGTGATGATGATGATAGATTGAAGTTGCAGAAAAACGATGAATTGAAGGTTGAATGAGCTTATGATAAAAAGTTGAAGATGAAGATAAGAGGAGAAGAGTTTTGAGTTTTGTGTGGTTCTTTAGAGAGTGAAGAATGAAGAAATGATGAAGGAAGCAGAGAGAGTTTTGAGATTTTTCTTGTGAGTTTTTATAACTGATTTTCCTCTGACGTTTTTTTGTGTGTAATCGGTGTGAATGATAAATCTGGAATGTCCTCCATTGTGAACAGAAATTCTATTATATAGATGAGAGGAGTTGGTGAATTAGTGACGATATTGATGATGATTTACAGATAAATGGATGAAAATCGCAGAGAAACTCTTGCAGAGTTTCAGATGATTCAAGAATTGACGAAAGAACTGATGAAGATGATAGGAGGAAAAAGCAGAAAAAATCATAGTAGAGAGGTGTTGCCTTTATTTTCAGAGGGAAAAATTGAAGATTTTCTGTTTTTGGTGATTCTTCGCAGATTTGAAGAGTGATGAAGATGAAAAAGAGAGAGATTTTTCAGAGATGAAGATTAAAGAGGGAGATAGTGAGGTTAAGAGGTGAGTATTCTCCTTTCCCTGTGACTTTTTATGTTATGAAAAAAATGAATCTTCCTCCTCTCTTTTCTGTTATGAATCAATCGTGAATTCCTTCCCTCCTTCTCTTTTTCTGTTATATCGACTATTGAGAAGTTTATTAGGAAGTTTCTTAACTGTGAGTTACAGGTGTGAGATAGTTATGGTTAATTTGAGATTTTTGGTTAGGGAAATTTTCTGTTGCAAGTTAGTTAACTTGAGCGGTTGGTTTTCGGTTAAGGAGCTTCAAAATTCTGTTAGAGTTTAGTTAGGAGATTTAAAAAAACAGTTAGCTAGTTGCTAGTTTCGGTTAGTGTTCTGTTTTGACAGTTGGTGACTCAGTCCTAACTTGTTAGAAATTCTGTTATGGTTGGTTATTGGCAGTTTGAAGGGTGAGGATTTATCAGTCATGGAGCTTGAGATTTAGGAATTTGAAGTTGGTTATAGACTCTAAAGCTTAACGCAAGGCATTTATTCAATCTGAGTTCACTGCCATTCTGACGTGTCTGAAATAGTTTGGATTCTTTTCATGAACAATGAACTGCTTCTACTTTTATGGAAAAATTATTTTGGAATTATCTTATTTAATCGTAGGGATGATTATTGGTCATTTCTAACTCAAGGTTACTTCATGATTTTCGTGATATTATTGATTGGTGCAGGACTTTGGCATGAAGGCACATGGAATTTGGCACGAAGGAAACATGGAATCAAGTACAACATGAATCTGAAAGAAGAGATCCCTGAAGTAATTTGAAAGGGCTTAGAGAAATAGGGATTATGGTCACATTTAGTTTCTTTGTCAACCTATGCAAGCTATTATTTTTGTAATCTCTTCGTAGCACACTCTTAAACCTTGTAATGAATCTAACTTTGTAGTCTCTTTATAATTTTCTCTTGGAGCTTCTTTTGTAAAAGTATGAACCTGTAGTTACCTTGGTTAGATTTGACTTGGTCCATAAAAGTTATCCTTCAAGAGTTAATTTTCTAACCAAATGAGAACATCTTCATTTTTACACCTTTGGAACAAATCAACATATAAAAAGCCTAAGAGCTTAAAATTGACTTTAGAATGATCCAATGCCTTCAAACTTGGAATAATTCACCAGATAGAAAATTAATTTCATACCCTGCGTCAAATCCATAATATTGTCTTGCTTTTGAAGGAACCTTTGGACATGTGAGACAAGGTTTAACGATAATGAATGGCAGTTGAATGTCTCCTAAGAAAACCTTATGCACAAATCCTTCAATTTTGCAAGCACAATTTGATCTACTTAAACACATTAGGCAACTTGAATGAATACTAACCAATCAATAAATCCAGATCAATTATTCCAATTAAATATCAATTTCAAACCTACTTATATTTCAAACGACAGGTAATAATAATGAGAACCAAAATTGCCTTAATCTGAATGAGTCCACAAGTTCATCTCCCATGCAATTACTTGTGCTTATATTTCACTCCATCACAATAAAAATGCGTTGAAGAGTCTTTGAAACTGAAAATGACACTTGGAGCAGAGGAGAACACCTCTGACGAACCTTAGTTGAATTAACAAGCGTAAGCACCAGGGTTAAAAATCCTAATCCTCTTGAGATGCATTTGAGATGCTGAGAAGGCCTCAGCCCTAGCTTACAAGGTCTTTATTTGAGGTATTGATGAAAAGACTTGCATTAACAAGTCAAAACCCTTTGATGGATAACTTGATGATATTTGTAGCTCGATGAGAATAAAAATCTCAGTGATCATGAACACAAGAAACCTTAGCTCCACAAACCATAATTGACGATGGAACCAGTTGATTCCTTGAGTGAAGATGAGAGCCTAAAAGCACAGAGAAACCCTAATTCCTCAATATCCTTGATCCTATGTTAAATTTATTGGTTAGTGATGCATGAGGTGTTAATTGATCTAATGAAGGATATGCAGATGAAATGAGAACGGAATGTATAAGCCAGATGATTTGATGAAAGAGTATGACACATTTTGGGTATTATAGCTGCCCTATTTGATCGTCTTAGAACCAAAAGTACGTTGACGCGTGCCTTTCAGACATTCGAGGTAGAAGATGATTAAATACCAATGCCAAAAATTTGTTCTGAGAGAAAGTATGAGTGTTTATTTATTTTTGTGATATTTGTTGGGGGAGAACTTTGATTTTTCCTTGGTAAAAGGATTCATGGATGAACCCAGAAGATGATTGCTCGTAACACGGTAACGGTACCGAAATAAGGTTTAGAAATCGACACGAAGAATGCTTGAAAATCGACACGACGAGTGTTTAGAAGTTGACGACGAGTCTTCAGGAGTTGACACGACGAGTGTTTAGAATCCGATACAACGAGTGATGAAAGATGACACGATGAGTGTTTAGAAGTTGACACGATGAGTGTTTAGAAATTGGCACGACGAGTGCTTGGAAATCAACATGACGAGTGTTTAGAAGTTTACGCGACAAGTGTTTAGGAATTGGCACAACGAGTGATTGTAAATCGACATGACGAGTGTTTAGAAACCAACACGACGAGTGTTGGAAGATGACACGACGAGTGTTTAGAAGTTTACATGACGAGTGTCTGAAGATAATACAACGAGTGTTTAGAAACCCACACGAAGAGCAAAGGTAAGTGACACGACGAGCGTCTGAAGATAACACGACGAGTGTTTAGAAACTGACACGACGAGCGAAGGTAAATGACACGACGAGTGTCTGAAGATAACACGACGAGCGTTTAGAAACCCACACGATAAACAAAGGTTAATGACATGACAAGTGTCTGAAGATAACACGACGAGTGTTTAGAAACCAACACGACGAGCAAACGTAAATGACACAACTGGCGTCTGAAGATAACACGACGAGTGTTTAGAAATCGACACGATGAGTGAAGGTAAATGACACGACGAGTATCTGAACATAAAACGACGAGCATTTAGAAACTGACACGACGAGTGTTTAGAAACCGACACGATGAGTGTTGGAAGATGACATGATGAGCATCTGAATATAACACGACGAGTGTTTATAAACCGACACGACGAGTGTTTATAAACCGAAACGACGAGTGTTGGGAGATGAAATGACGAGTGTTTAGAAGTTTACAGGACGAGTGCTGGAGGAAAGACTTCACCAGGGACACGTGATACATTAACACAAACGCGTGTTCGAAACAATACTCGAGAGTATTGGAAGAGAACACAAACGAGTATCAAAGGAGATACAGACGAGTATCAAGGAAAGGATAAGACACACGAGTATTTTAATCAATACTGACGAGTATCAAAAGAAGATACAGACGAGTATCAAAGAAATGATTACACGGACGAGTGTTTGAATTAATACGGGCGAGTATCGAAAGAAGATACAGACGGTTATCAAAGAAAGGTTTAACATAGACGAGTGTTTAAATCAATACGGACGAGTATCGAAAGAAGATACGGACGAGTATCAAAGAAAGATTTAACACTGATGAGTGTTTGAATTAATACGGACGAGTATCGAAAGAAGATACAAACGAGTATCAACAAAAGGTTTAACACGAACAAGTGTTTGAATCAATACGGACGAGTATGGATAGAAGATACAAACAAGTATCAAAGAAAGGTTTAACATGGATGAGCGTTTGAATCAATACGGACGAGTATCGAAAGAATATACAGACGAGTATCAAAGAAAGGTTTAATATAGATGAGTGTTTGAATCAATACAGACGAGTATCGAAAGAAGATACAAATGAGTATCAAAGAAAGGTTTAACACAAACGAGTGTTTGAATCAATACGGACGAGTATCAAAAGAAGACACAGACGAGAATCAAAGAAAGGTTTAACATGAACGAGTGTTTGAATCAATACGAACGAGTATCAAAAGAAGATACAAACAAGTATCAAAGAAAGGTTTAACACAAACGAGTGTTTGAATCAATACGAACGAGTAACAAAATAAGATACAAACGAGTATCAAAGAAAGGTTTAACACGGACGAGTGTTTGAATCAATACAGACGAGTATTGAAAAAAGATATAGACGAGCATCAAAGAAAGGTTTAACACAGACGAGTGTTTGAATCAATACAGGCGAGTATCGAAAGAAGATACAGACGGGTATCAAAAAATGATTACACGGACGAGTGTTTGGAAGTACAATGTATTGACACCACTGACTGGGTATCATGATGTAACGAAGGATGTCAGCTAAAGGTTTGGGAGAGATATCCTCTTGTGGAGATGTATTGCTGTCTTTGAAGGATTCAAGTCTTTCGTGTAAGGTACTTGATCTAGATTATGCTTCGTATGCATGTTTGAATTTATTTTGCCGCAAAGATCCATTCTGGTGGATCAGCTATGTGCTTTTGAAGATGAAATGTTATACAGTGATAAGTGTAAGCAACACAAAGAAATAGACTTCATGGGGATAAGCGAAAGCTCGTTGGGAACTGTTGCTCATCACCAGGGATGCCAATACAAAGCAGCGCTGGAAACTTACGGTACCAAAGATCACTGGGGATACTGATAAGAACTTGCACGGGGAGCTCATGATACCAAAGATTATTGATGACTCCGCTGAAGATCGGATTGCTGACGAAGCGAGTTTTCAGGTACGCTACTGAATTTTGAACTATATTGTTGGGTAAGAGGTAATCTGGATCGACTTCCCTACGTCTAGAACCATTTAGAGGATGGTAGAACTGAATGTGCCGAGGAATGGGTACTAAAAACTATAACGCCCCAAGCTGCCTTCAGGATAATCGACTGACCCCATAAACCAACACGAGTCTTTTCAGCATGTTTTATCCTTACTCACACGCTTTCTGGGAAACTTCCCAAAAGGTGACCATCCCAGAATTGCTCCAAGTTAAGCACGCTTAACTTTGGAGTTCTTATGAATGAGCTACCAAAAAGAAGATGTATGTTGTTGGTATAGGTAATACCAATTAATCCTTATAAGACTTCCTTCAACCATATAGTCCCATACCTGTATAGCCTCGGGATCCCTCTCATTCCGATGTGGCGACCACCTTTGCCCTCTTAGGCCTCGAGTGTTACATATGGTGCAACCACTCCTCACCCTTTTTAGCCTCGAGTGTTACATGCTCACCAGCTTTCGCATGGTTCATCCTCGAACCACATCGTATTGGGAAAGGTAGGGCTCTGATACCATTTGTAACGCCTCAGGCTTCCTTCAGGATTATCAACTGACCTCACAAACCAACACGGATATTTTCAGCATGTTTTATCCTCACTCACACGCTTTCTAGGAAACTTCACAGAAGGTGACCCATCCCAGAATTGCTCCAAGTTAAGCACGCTTAACTTTGGATTTCTTATGAATGAGCTACCGAAAAGAAGATACATCTTGTTGGTATAGGTAGTACCAATTAATCCTTATAATCCTTCCTTCAACCATACAGTCCCATACCTACATATCCTCGGGATCCCTCTCATTCCAATGTGGCGACCACCTTTTCCCTCTTAGGCCTCGGGTGTTACATGCGATGTAACCAATCCTCGCCATTTTCGGCCTCAAGTGTTACAAACACTACATGCCCCAAGTTAACGCCACACTGGGGAATTACCTCTTGAATCACTTAGGGGTAAAATATGGACACGAACACTTGTGAATGCCCTGGTTTACTCCACTGGGGAAATTCTACAGGAAAATTTTGCAAATGCCTCGATTTAGCTCTACAAATGCCCCGATTTACCCCATTAGGGATGCC